ACTAGAAATAACCATATTTTCACAATTCATAACCCAATAGGTTTATAATAATGGTAATTTCTAACTATAAACCATAATCCAGTGTACTATTCATTAATATTTCATAAAATTTCAAATATTTTCATATCTTATATAAAACTAAAACAATTCATAAATATTTATGCGGAAAATCTAATGGAAATGAAGGCATTTCATGCGAAACAATCTCAATGAGTATGTAAATGGATCTCACATTTCCCGGTGCGACGACATCCGAGCAGTAATAACAGCCCAAATCGGCGCCACTCACTCGCCTCGACCTCCCGGTGCCAGTCGTAGATGTTGTCGAAAGCTCGCCACCGACAGCTCCGACAATAGACTGATCGTTGGTCGCACCTGTAGTCTCCGTACGTCTCACGCCATGCCTTTGAACTAAAAAGGTGTCGAACCCAAGAGCAGCGTTTATGACCAACTGTTCCAGTAGTCAAAACATTAGATGAGTTATTCAGCAAATAAATGAGAGGAACGGCATATCAATAGTTATACCTTATTCTTAACGGCCGACAACACTGTCGGCAGCCATCGGCTCTCTCTGGTGTCCATCAATAGGAAGACCACATCGTTATCATCGATCAGTTGCTCCAGAAGTTGCACTTCTTGTCTGCATTTTTCTTTAACTTTTTAATTAATATAGAAAATTGTTTTAAACTGAAAATATTGCCTTTTCTATGGTTTTCGTCAATACATACGCTGGTCGGGCACCGGGTGTCCGGGCATTGGGAGCGACAGTTGGATGCCTTTAGAGTTAACGTTCGGGAATATAGTCTTTAAGGCTTCGGCCGCCGCCTCGGCCTTAGGTTTGCCGCCGTCTAAGCAGTCGTTGAATGTGAATAACGACTGCCGGACGGGATTGGAGTACGAGACGGCACTGTTGTCCACAAATGTTACGTTTCTTATACCCCACGCCTATCCATCAAAAATGTGTTTTACTATTTTGTTTGGAACTACAGTTGGAATAACAAACACAATTAAGTCATACCAATAATCCTCGGCCTACAGAACAGCCCAGAGTTCCTGAACCCAGGATAAGACACTTTGTGGCGCATATGGCTTCCAAATCGAGAGACGGAACCAATCGCCAGCGCATTAACTTGAGATTCAAGTCGACGGCCCCTTCGGCCAACCGGTGCGGATCCATAAGTGCACTCAAGTCGACCACTCGGGGCAACAGTAGGTTCTTCTCGTTCTTCTCCCAACCGACGCATTCGATTGACTCCATGTCCGGCACTTTCGGGTTGTCCTCCCATTCAATGTCCAGTAAAAGACTAGTTTTGGCGGATCTGTCCCTCAGTCTGAACGCCAAAACGGCACAGTTATTCAATTTGAAGTGAATGGCGATGAATGCCAAGTAATTCCTT